TAGCAGTTTAGCCACGACGTTCTCCAGGCCAAGGTGTGCAGCTTCGTGCAGCAAGGTGCGTCTTCGACCAGGCACCACGTGATCTACAAACAGTCGCGACGTCATTGCAAGTATGTAGAGGGCTACTCGCTCATGGCTGTTGATAGCAGCTAGAACCAACGCGGTGAAGCCCTTAGCGTTCCGTGCGTACACAAGTTCTGGTACTTTGCTGAGTAGCCGAGGTTGGATAAGAGTCACGATTTCAAGATGTCCGAACTTCGCAGCAAGATGCAGCCCGCTGTTGCCGCCTGTAACACTCGCTATCGCGAGCAGACATATCATTTTTCCCGTTCTTTTTAAAGTACTCTTCCATCTATTCAACGGCACACCTGTGTTGGATAGTGCTGACCTGACGAGCAGATTGAGTTGCCGTTATGCAAGGGACATGTGCTGCGTCTTCTGTCTCAGTTACGTTCTCCATTGATGAGCCATCTCCAGTTTTAGCATCGCTAGCATCCCTCTGGCATTGATCTCTCGGCTGAGCTAATACTGCAAATATGAGAGACGGGGATACTGTGGAAGCAGTAGAGTGCAATTGATGGCATTTACTGTCGCAACAGGGGCACAGGAGTGTAGCGGATTCGGCAAAATCTGCGAGATTGCTGAATCTGACTTCACTAGAACCCAGACACCGGCTAACAAAGGGGGTCCCCCGATGATCCGTGAACTTCTGAACTCCTTCACTTTGTGTACCCGTCGGTAGAGCAGGGTCTAGCTCATCTGGTAACTGCAGAGAAGATTAAGTGGTGAAGCTTGGGTGTCTTGGCGAGACGCGGAATTGGGTGGAGTAGTCGTTTACTCTACGTCCGATGTAGGGTCCAGATTACAAGCGAATACTTCGAGCTTGTAGGATCTGGCGGTCTTGATATGCGATCTTTCGGCAGGTAGAATAGAGGGTGTGTTTCCGTTTCGTCATTCATACCGCTTGTTATAGCGGGATCTTGATAGTTGAGAATCGATAGGTACTCCCGGTCAAGCAGATTTCGCTAACCTTCTTAATCTGTACAGTAAGGGAAAGTTCACTAGGTGGTATGATCTGGCCAAAATACTACCAAGATATCCCAACCAACGCTAGACCTGCTATTTCAACCTTTGCCGAGCTCTATGCGGCCAATCTCTTCTTGAGGGCAGGAAGGAACTTGTATATAAAAATATGCAAATTCAAAACTACTAGATCTCTCATCTTCAGCTATGTAGCTGCTCTTTGTAGTTGATCTTCACCGTCCAGCTGTCCTTTATATAGGATCGTGATATATCTGCCACGTAGACCTCGCCTTATCGTCAGATCAGTGCGGATCTCTTCCAATCATGGCATACTCCCAACCCTGGTGATTTACCAAGTGTATGTGAAGCACGATCCGTCTTAATCCAACTTTTACAGGCATGCGTCATGGTCTCCCACACGTAGACAATCTCAATCTATCACTCACCGGTCGAGCTTCACAAAAGCTGCCCTCAGATACTCAAAAAGTCAGGATCTATGATGTCGGACACCGGATTGATTTGATCCCGTTTCACAATGCCCAGATCCATGACTTTTGGATCCGATCGGGGTTCAACTCGCTCTCTCGATTCTTCATTTTCTCTGGTCATTGGCCGAATTGCTTGTATCTAGTCGTCCAGGCCCGGGACCTTCGAAGTTCATCCTCTTATATGCAGTGCAGTGCGAAATCGGACATCTTCGCAGCACTCTCCGTCCCAACCCATAACTCTTCGGCCCAATCTACTGCAGCACTCCCATATCTAGACCAACAGTATCGCTAATCGGGATCAGTGCCCAGCAATCATGTTCCATCTCCTCATTTCTCGAAAAACACTCCGCCACAGCTGCATCTTGCACTTATTTGTCGTCAAATAACGGTATCCCTGCGCACACCCATCCAATCCTCACTTTTCTTGGTAGCCCCTTTGGTGTACACGCCATGGCCCCACCGCAACTATCAGGAACGCGGGAAGGTGCCTACAGCACCTGCATTTTTCAATCCGCTTTCGGTAGCAAATCTAAAACCACTTCTGCGTCAAGCCCTGGGACGGCGAGTTCTCGATTAGCGTACGGTTCAGGCCTCTAATCAGCGGAATAAACTCCTGGATAGCAACGATCATCTCCTCTGCGAGGTCCAAGCTGCCAGATCCGATATCCAGGAGCTATTTTTCTGCTTGGTGCAAGGCCCGGAGACTGCATATACCACCTACAAAGCATCCGAAGGGAGTCTAAAACGGATACGAGAAGAATTGCGCGTGGCGCAGAAGGCGATTGTGACCCGCGACTATGTGAGCGCTAGCATCGGCGGATCATGGCTTGGCAACTCCCCAGACCACGGTCCTAGCTTAACACCGTCTGATCCTAAGTATTCAGGATTGACACCAGCCAGATCGGAGGATGTCGGTTTGACCAAAGAACTCCAGGAGATTCGATATTCCGCTTCTCAGCTGACTGTGAGCGCGAACTGGCGTGGGGTGAGCATAACAAGGCAATTGCTGAACTCAAGAGACTGCAGCGCCGACAAAATGTCGTTGATACCTGTTGGCCGAGATCCAGAAGCTTCATGACAGAATTCTTTGTGGTGTATTCAAACTGAAAACACGATGGGGAGAGCGGGCGAAGCTCCTGGTAGTTGTAGCCTAGTGTATTTGTAGGTAAAAGGCAAAGTGTGACTGCTCTTTGAGCTGTCG